CTTTCTTGTTTTCTATATATATATATATGTGTGTGTGTGTGTGTAAAAACAAATTCACGGGACTAGGGGAATTTTTTTGGGTACATATGAGACTAAGGGATTATATATGGGGAGAAAATGAGGTTCAAAGGAGAAGGTAAATATATAAGAAAATGATTAGTACAACTTTCGATTTAATACATTTTATAATAATTATAGGTTTAGTTATTAAATTTTGTAACTTTTAGTTTTTTTTACTTTTAATTCAAATTTAAAAATAATAATTTTTTAATAAATGCGTTATAAGATGTATTGAATCATATAGTGTATTAATTATTATCTAAATACATAAATATGCATTGTTTTGTCGATATTGTTCAAGTTGATGTATTAGATTACTAAAAGTGGACAGAAGAAATAGGGAGAGATTGTATATAACAAGGAGAATGATATGCCTTTTAATTCAATATATTTTACAATATATTTATTAAAAAATTATTATTTTTAAATTTAAATTCAATATGAGAAAACTTTTAAGTGAAAATTTTAATGACTGAAAATTAATGAATATTGATAAATATATTGAACTGAAAGATGTACTAATTATTTTTTATATAGCAAAGTCATTGCATATTATTGGATAAAAGTAAGACAAAAGTTGGCATTTTGGGTTCTCTACTCCGGCAGGGACCTTGATAATTTAAAGGATCATGATACATCAACCCATTGAAACGGCACCCATCTCAACACTCATGTTGTTTAAATAGTAAAATTACAAATTTACCCTCCTCATTTTACACATAAGTGTTGAGATAGGTGCTGGTTCATTGGGTAAATGTCTCATTTCCCTAATTTAAAACTAGAAAAAGATGACGAGCTTCTCAATCAAAACCTCAGTGCGTCTTTTTTGCACATTTCACATTTTTCCCTCCCTTCTTTTGTCATAATTAATGCTCTGCACATTTTTTACACATTTCTTTCCCTCCTAATCCTTGTTATGCACACTTTTGTACATTTACACATTTCTCTCCTTTTTGTCATAATAAAAAAAAGAATAATGATGTGTGTACACCTGGATCCCACACCCGGGTGTGCACACATCATATAAACAAAAAAAAAAATACCCATCACCCGGTTCAATTTTTTTTTTTTTTTATGTGGGGGCTCGAGTGTGCACCAATCAGCGTCCTAAAAAAAAGTAAACATCAAAATTAAGCACCACATACTCAAGAAAATATGAGGGAGACCTTGAACAATGTCAAAGGTTCCCTTAATATAACATGGTGCTTACTATTTATAACATCAAGAAATTAAGTAGGGAACAAGCAATATAGAAAAGGTAGTTAAATGTACAATTGAGATTTCAGGTGGGTTTGGTAGCCGCTAAGGAGTTGCTTCAGCAAAGTCGGTCAATCAAACTACTTAAAATTTTCACCAACCAAAATATCTTTGAAGATCAAAGTATTTACAAAATTATCATCAATCAAACTGTGTTTTAGAGAGACAAAAGAGCGTACGAGATAGAAAGAAAGAGGATATGATTGACTCTACTCTCTCTATTACTCTTTGGGCGCGTTTGGCCGTACGGGAAGGAAAGTTTCCTCCCAACTTTTCCCCTTATTTGGATTCTTTAAGGTTATTTATACATTTTCATATTTTAATACTAAAATGAAAAGAAGGTAAAAGTAAAATTTTTTATATTTATTTTTTCTAGCGCCATTTTTAACCTGTAAATTTTTATTCTCACATTCTTTTTAAGGAAAAAATTTCTCTTTTTAACTTTTTCTATATAGGAGTTACTTAACAACTTTCCTACAATTTTTCCTACATCAATTTTTTTTATCAAATATGAAAAAATTAATAATCTAACAAATTCTAATAAAACTTCATTACAAAATTTATCAACTTTTCATACAATATTTCAACACTACTTGTCCAATAAAAACTTTCATTATAAAGTTGATCTTTAACCGAAAGTCCCTTGCTTCATTACCTAGTTTTAGAATTACCTAGTTTTAGATTTGATGTTAGGTTACCAATTCATTGACCTTTTTCATAGCAACTAATATTTAATCCATGCATCACACCCAACTTTCTTCTGTTCTTTTCCCCACCTTATCTCAGATAAAATTATCTCTTGGTTTGTCTCTCATCTTCATTGATTAAATTTTAAATCACCATGCTCAAATCTTCTTTACATAATTATATATTCTTATGATTATAATACTTCTTCCTTACGTATCTCTGCCTCATATTGCAAAATACAAATTACTCCGCTCTATATTTAAGAGATACTCTTATAATTTTATTTAATATTTTATATTATACAATCTGATTCATTCTAAATTACAAAACACATTTTCATATTTTATGTTAACGTGAGTTACTCACTTTAATCAAATCAGTGTCATATAAAAAACCATAGATCCAAAATCAACCATGGAACAAGCATGGGTGGTTCACAGGTCACCCATCTGTCTGCACATTTTTATTTTAACATACATGATGACGCTGCCTTTCTACAGGTTGCTGTTTCTTCCATTCAAGACCAATCATACTGCATGAAAGCTGCCACATGGCATCATAGTATTAGTTAATATTGATCTATCATCAATTTTTTTTAGCTATATATGATCCCATCATCATGACCATAACACGCACTTTCAATTTCATTACAACTAAAAAGAGTTTGCCATGATTCACTTCCAGCCTTGATTCCTACACTTTCAAACTAAATCAAGCAAATGGGTTTCTTCCACGTGGCAAAAATGCATTTGTCTGTTTTTGAAATGAACTCTGTTGGCTTCCACATAGTATTCTATCCCCATCTAAACATGCACATTAAGAAAAGCATATTTCTTATCAAGTCAGTCAATGAAAATGTGGTATTTATTCTGTCTTTTCCCCTTTTCCCCTTTTCCTTTTCCTTCTCCTCCTTTTTCCGGCGTAAAACGTTGCCGTTCCCATTGTAATAATTTCACATTATTCAACTACTTTTGTTTGTTTTTTTTTTGTACGAAAAAAAAAAAAACTACCTTTTGTTTGCCTTACCATTTAAGTTATAAAATGTGGGATAATCTTTTTTCTTTTTCAAATTGAGTTTTCATAAGTTTTAAATTTTAAAATTTAAATTCTTTACTAATTGAGATATGTACTTTTGTAGCAATTAAATATATAGATTTTGACTTACATTTAGTATAAAATTAATAAATAAACTCAAAAATTACATAAAAGTATAATTAATTAATAATAAATAAAATAATTTTCATTATATTTAAATTACATATCTCTTTATTTTTTTATTATAAATGTAAAATTTTCTCACTTAAGAACTCCTTAAAAAGCTTGTTTTCCTTTTTTTCTTCTTTTTCTTCTCTCATAAGAATGGCTTTTGACCTTTTGTGAAGGTCTAGGAAACTCTAATTCATGGTCTTTTTCTCTTTCTCATCTCTCAGTATGAATTAAAGAGGGTGAATCATTTTTAACTGAACTCATCATGATTCTCCTTTGTCATGCAAGTATACTCTAATGGCACATTACAAAAGGCCAAAATTCATCAGAGCTTTTCCTTCCACTTGCTGGAACCCACCCAACAATGTTTAATATGATGCCAGCATAACATTACATACATATATACAACTGTTGTATCGATTTAAACAATGGGCTTTTCTTGTTTTGCTTTTGATTGTTATTATTGTCATGTAGTATAAAAGAACTATATTGGTTTCAGAATAATAAACATTTTTGAATTTAAATTTTGTTTTAGAAAAATAATATTTGTTTATATATATTTATATATACATATATTTAAAGGAAACATATATATATATATAACTTTAACCTTAAATTTTAATTATTTGTCTTATTATAAAAATATCTCTTTATTTTTATTTCCCTTCTAAGGATCGGTAAAATATAAATTATTCTCAGGACAATGATTGGTGCACACCCGGAGCCAACACACGGGTGTGCACCCCCCACATAAAAAAAAAAAATTGAACCGGGTGATGGGCATTTTTTTTTTTTGTTTATATGATGTGTGCACATCCGGGTGTTGGATCCGAGTGTGCACACATCATTTTCCTTATTCTCAAAATTTTCTTTAAGAGATAAAATAAAAAAATCATCTATTTTTCTAAGATACAGGAAGTAGTAATTAAGTATTAATCTAGATTATAGTAGGATTGATAAAAAAAAATTGCAGATTTATAATAGATAAAAATGTTTTTCTAAAAAGAAATAAGGACTAAATTTTGTATACACAAACAAATTTGGCTGTAAAAAATAGATTCAATAATTTATGAAATTAGTATTTATCAATTGAATTATATTATTTTAATAAAGTACTATAGGAAAAAGATTAAAACAACCTTATTCCTCCTTTAAAAAGTAAGATGTTTTTTCCTTAATTTTTTTATAGGTACAGGTGATAAATATTTTTTCCATAATTTATTCTTATTTTTCCACTTATTCTTTTTTTTTTTGGCCAGATTTTTTCTACTTATTTATTTGCTTGGATTTCACCATTTGGATTGAGCTAGATATTAATGCAAGGATATTTTGAATTTGAAGAAAAAAAAATCTAATATGAATATTCACATATCATTTTCCATAAAAATTAATATATTTTAAATCGAAAAAAAGTGCTACCATATTTTCTCAAGTCCTAATTTTCCATCAACATCCACCATGGAGATCTGTTTTAGTAAATATCTCATCAAAACTGAAAGAAACTTGACTAAATGCACCCCTAATTGTTTTTCTCAACCGTCCGATTCTGCCACGTGGAAAAGCACACACGTGGCGCAATCAGGAGATGCTCATTTTGTGTGAACCGCTATACTCGGCTTGCTGCCTACGTAGATACGCAAAGGAAGAACCAAAAGGTTGCGTAAGCGCCAAACCCATCCTTGTCCATGGATCCGACGGCTGTGGACGAACTTCAGCCACCACGATCGATCTCAGCCGTTAGATCTCTCCAAAAAAAATAAATTTACCCCATTTGTTTATCAGCGTTGTCCCTTTGCTAGGCGTTGTTTTGTTGTTGAATTCTAAGTTGCAGTTTGTTTATACCCTCTCTCTCTTTTTCTCTGCTTTCCTCAAGCTTTTATTAATGGTAATAATTTTATTTCATCTTTTTTTCTCTCATTTTTCTTCTTTTTTGTTTTTTCTCGACTCATCGCATCCCCTAATTTCCGGTAATAGGAGACAATGCCGGTGCCGCCATGGCTGGAGTCGTTACTTAGCACCGCTTTCTTCACCGTCTGCCGCACACATGGTGACGCAGCAAGAGGAGAATGTAACATGTACTGCCTGGACTGTCAGGGAGACGCATTTTGCTATTATTGTCGGTCGTCGAAACACAAAGATCATCAGGTAATCCAGGTGAGTATCTATGGAAAATTAAATTAATAAATTAAACATTTAATTGGCATTTCCCATTTTCCCTTTTCTATATAGTCATCATTATTCAGACAATTAATCTGTCTTAATTTTGTTTGGTCTAAGATAAGGCGATCTTCGTATCATGATGTGGTGAGGGTTTCGGAGATTCAAAAGGTTTTGGACATAAGTGGGGTTCAGACATATGTGATAAACAGTGCGAGGGTTTTGTTCTTGAATGAGAGGCCTCAACCGAAATCTGGGAAAGGAGTAGCTCATCTTTGTGAAATCTGCAGCAGAAGTCTTTTGGACCCATTTCGTTTCTGTTCATTGGGATGTAAGGTAAATTAATTAATTAACCAATCAATCACCATTTTTCTTCATCATCAGCTTATGGTGTGGAAATTAATTGATTAAACATATATATCCATTCATCATGATCCATGCCTGGCCTTGCGGTCCCATCATCATATGATCATGTTCTTCATTGTTATTGAATTGATAGTAACATTAATTTAATTTATAAAATTAATTAATCGGTTTTAAATAACCTAATTAGCTTGAAGGAGTGAAGAGAAATGGGAATGCAAGCTTTGCCATAGATGGAAGCGGAGAGGAATTGCGTGAAGGAACACAACAAGACATTTATCCGCCCACGCCTCCCCCACCTCCTTCAAATGCAAGGAGAAGAAAAGGCGTTCCTCATAGGGCACCTTTTGGGTCTTGAATTTCCGAAATTCATATTATTATTGTTTCTTTTTTTTTTTTTTAATTTTGAAGAAAAGAGCTCTTTAGGGGTCTTTGTCCCAAAGGAAAGGAGAGAGTAAGGCACCCATTTGGGTAGGGGGTCCAAAAAACAGAAGGGTTAAGTAAGTTTTCCCTTTTGGTTCTGGGACCCATACAAGCAAATTCTCTCTTTGTGAAGGAGCAATAATGTAGAATTTGTTATTGGTATATTATTGCACAAGGTGTAGATTGTAATTAAATTAATAAGTTATAAAAGCAATTGTCTTTGTGGAGTCCCCGTTTCATGGCTTTCATGGGGCCAACAACCACATGGGCCGTTCACATAAAGATGCAACCACTTTCTATTGTTTAATACAAAGGTTATGGAGGCAAATCAACTTTCCTTTGATTGTTACCTAAATTGAAAAGCTCAAATGTTGAGTTGTGTGTATCTTGCGTTTAATTTCTTTCCTAATTTTTTGCTTTTTCTAATTCCTCTATCAATTCATAAGTTTGTTTGGGAAATGTGTATTTGAGGACATGAAGGTATTTAGCTTTTACAATTTAACCAAATAGATCATGTACATGTAGGTAG